AAGTCGTTTAACTCTCTGAATGTCATCAGTTACGTTAACACAACGCCAGCCTGCGCCATCTAGAGTTTCATGACTGAACTATATATTTAAAATGTACTTAAGCCACACTTAACATGCATTCATACAATTGTCCGCAGATGCCACTAGGTTTATATATATCTTGTTATCGAATACAATGACATTCTGGCATTTTGTATTTGATTTAATGCTTTTTTGGGGCCAGTATACTGTACATTATAATGTTGTGATGATGCCTAAATTGACTTTTAGCATTTAAATTGACTGATTTTCACTTTTAGTTTTTTTATTTAGAATTTATTTAGACATAATAAACAAATATTATAGAATTTAATATCTGCCAATTATTGGTTTCTGGCCATAACATGAAAATAATTATCTTATCAGTACTGGACAGAATTTTAATAATCGTGCATCTCTAATTTTGAGCATTGTGGATAAATGTGCACAGTGTTTCTCTTGAACACTATGAAAACTTGTGTGTGTGTGTGTGTGTGTGTGTGTGTGTGTGTGTGTGTGTGTAAACTCACAGCAGTAGCATCACTCTGGCTTTAACTAGTGACAACATGTGGAGGCACTGTTCCATATTATTATTCACAATGTTTTTCTGAAACAAAACCAAAATTATGAAGTGTATAGTGTGTTTTTAGACATTCCTTCCTAAACACAAGACATTTTTATAGCAGAAACCACAACAAAAAAGGAATAAACTACTGTATATGATAAATATGAGTTTTTTGCAGATCGGTCACATAAATATGGGTCAAACGGTCAAACTAAATATGAAATCTTGTTATCAGTAATAAACAAACAACTGAAATGTAAAGGAATGAATAAATATATTGAAATGGCTCACCAAGTTGATCCTGAAATCTCTGGAGAATACAAATCCTTTAAGAGAAAGGAAGTAATTTAGAGAAAAAAAATAAAACGTCAGAAAATCTAGGTCTGTAGAGTGAGAATACAATTGCTGTACGTCTTACCTCCCTCAACTTCTCTGACAGCTCGCTCTAACAGAATGTCTGCAGACTGATCGGAAAGGGAGGGGTTTGCAGCCTTCAATCTAAAAGAGGATAATAATAATAATAATAATAATAAATGCAGTTCATTTGAACTTTTTATTAATCACAGAACCCTGAAAAAAGTGTATCACTGTTACCACAAAAATATTAAGCAGAACAACTGTTTTTAACATTGATAACAACAAGAAATGTTTTGCAAGCAGCAAATCAATATATTAGAATGATTTCTGAAGGATCATGTGATACGGGTTGCTGAAAATTCAGCTGTGCAATCAATATGAGGTGGACAAATGATGAATCAACACTTGAAAATGGCAAATATTTAGTTAAAGGGGAATAATTTGAAAAAAGCTTAAGTTGACATTAAATGGAAGTTGTGATCACCTTTATTTCCCTATTGTGACGTATATCAAGTGAAATGGTTTCTCGAATAAGAAAAAAAATGTGGGGTGCGACGTGATTTTGTCTAGGATAAATCATGTATAATAAACACAGCAATATTTCGTAAAAAATAAAAATAAAAAAAAACAGTTTTCCATTTTGAATTTTGGGTGATTTTAAAGACAAGACACTCAAAATGTGGGAAAGAATGTGGCTGAAACTCAACTGAAACAAGAACACTGATGTGCTATAACCTACATGTTTGTCTGTAACTGAATGTGAGGAATTCTTCACCTTTCTTTGGCTTTCCAAGACACTCAAAATGTGGGAAAGAATGTGGCTGAAACTCAACTGAAACAAGAACACTGATGTGCTATAACCTACACGTTTGTCTGTAACTGAATGTGAGGAATTCTTCACCTTTCTTTGGCTTTGTCATACGTGTACACCCTCTCTTTCCTCTCATCCATCTTGTTGTCATAGTGGATTTGATCATTAATCCCTTTCCTCATGTTCTTAAACATCTCAGTCTTAGGAAGGACAAATAAACATGTATGTTGTTATCATTGCCGCATGTATGTTGAATAAGAAGTCTTCTCTATGATTTACAAATAATGACTCTAACATGCTCCATTTATTGTTACCATTTGTGTTGGGAGGTATCCATAACTATCCAAGAGAACTACAGCATCAACCATCTCTGGGTACAAGGCACTAAACTGGAAAACCAGAAGGAACTGTTATCACACACTACATTTACACATTACAGAGACTTTATTTACTAAAACTTTTGTTCTCAACTGTTGCAAAAACCAATGCATAGCAAGCATAGCAAGATAGCAAAAAGTTACAAATGTTGCAAACTGTTGGACCTTTACAGCTCACTGTAATATTAAATCATTTAAAGACATTTTTGTTTACATTGCATCATTTCAGTACTGTGATAGGTTTTTCCTTTATGTCAAATCTGGGTCATGCAGTAAACCAGCTGAGAAACACTGTATTACACAACTATAACATTTACATAAATAGAAAAAATTATGATGGATACTCACTATTCCTGCCACATTCCCACCTGTTAAAGAAACATCAAATTATGGTAAATTGACAAATAAATAACCCAGTTCAAAATTAGTTTCCACTTACTCGAATGTCATGATTATTTGTTACTTATTTGTGAAATGTATTGATTTTTTCATTATAATTTCATTTATATTCCAGTGTTATCCAGTAACCATGATTATTATTTATTTTACATTTAAGTATTATCAATAATATGAATAATAATAATTATTAATAATATTATTATATTATTGTAGTTAATTTATGTTACTTCAAGACTGTGCATTAATTCTGATTATATATTTATGTAAGGTAATGTTAATGAATTGTTCACCTTCTTTTCTATATCTTTACCCACGCCTAACTCCTTAATTCATTCAAAGTTATTCTCAAAACACACACTTGTTTCCTACAGTGGAATATTTAAATCTTCGGTCTTAAAATATATTTGAATTAATTAAAGCTCAAATCCTAGAAATAATACTGCAGGTACTCAAACTTGCTCATCATCTGGTCGTGAATAAGGGTGACATTAGAGAAGTGGTGATGCTATAAATAGTAGGGAAATACGAAGACAAATCTGTGGCATTCCTCCCAGAATGTCCTTCTAATGCCCTTTTAGTGATCTACTAACAAACATTTATGTCATTGAAGAAAGGCTACAAAATATAAAGGCTTTACAGAGCACTACAATAACACAGCTTCACAATAAAATTATTTATCATCAGTTAACGTACGGTTTGCATAGATCCTCTGATCTTTCACACACAAAAGAGAACTTTGACCTCTATCAGTGAATGAAGTGTTGACTCACCCATACTATGTCCAATGATAGAGAATTGCTTCCACTGAAGAGCTGCAAACAAAACGAAAAAAAAAAAAATACAAAATCAGTCACACCTACAGTGTTTTAAATGGGTTTTTGCCTTGCTTTTCAGTAAAAATAACAAAATAATTCAAACAAGAACAACTTACTTTAGATGCAACACTGCATTATCTATTATGGCTTGTTTTCATTGATTGTATCTTGAATGTTTATTTTGTATTATTTCCACTTGTTTTGTTTTTTTACTTGCTTATGCATAAAACAAGTAAAACAAATTGCCAAAATGCACTGAAATTAAATAGCCTATACCTTTGACGAGTCTTCTTACTTCAAACAGTGTTGCTTCTCAAGTACATTTATCTTGTTCCAATGATTTTTAGATATTTTGATTGGAAAGTAAGGCAAAGATACTCATTTAAATGTTTTGGGTTTTTTTTGTAATGAAGATGAATCATTAATGGTTTGTAACAAAGGCTGAGTTGCTTCAAACCTTCTACAACTCGCCGAACATCTGCCACATACAAAGGGAAGGTGTAAAGGCATCCATCAGGCCTATGAGACGAGAGACCATGACCTGGAAAGTCAATGGCTACGAATCTCCAGTCTGGGAAAGATGTGGAGAAAAACAGAGAAATTGAGAACCAGTTTCACTTCATTGATATTTGTGGATGAGGTATGTAAGAATTAATTTATCCATGTGGACCTTCATAATGTTAATAAATCCTCTGGAATCAAACACTACACCTTTAGGAAGCAGTGGAATCAGGGTACTGAATGTCCCGCAGTTGTCAGCCCAACCGTGCAAGCACAGCACGGGACGACCATTAGAAGGACCCCAAACCTGACCTCTCACCTCTCCCCACGGGACAGTCATTCGAAACTCAGACGCTGTGTCAAAATACAGAGTCATAATTAGTTACATTCATAACATTCATGTATATCCTATAAAATATGCTCCCTAAGTGTATTTCAAAGTTGATTTTGAAGCAACTATGATGAATGTTAACCTATGTAAATTTTCAAAAAACTAAATATTAAATTGAATTAAATTAAATACATTTTCTTACCTGCTCTCCTCATCGTAGTTGTGGAAAAGTGTCTGAGGCTCGTGAAGGCAGGAAGCATTCTCACACCTTGCAGTGCAGTTTAAACCCCCTTACAAGATAAGGAGAAACTTATGTTTAATTGAAAAACATATTTGTAAATGTTCAGAAGGTACCCTAACCTTATTCGTCTGAACATGACATGCATGTAAGACATTCAGACTAACTTCACAGATGCAGAACAGATATAAAAATCAGATATAGAAGTATAAATTCTCATTCCTAAACTGTCCTGGAACGTGAAGAGAAAATATATCTGTATACAATATGTTAATTATATAGTTCCGCTTTCCAAATGAATTGCAAACTTACGTCGAGGGATATAAATCGCCTGTCCTCTTCAAGTTTAGTTACTATTTACAAGCACATCACGCACTGTAACGTTACATGCTGGCCAGTAACTTTTAAATTACTTTAAAATAAAAGTCGTTGCCGCTGAATCATCATTTCGTTAGAAAATGCTTTTCGAAAATGAAAACAACAAATAATGTACATTTCCAAAACTCTTACCACTACAAAACACTATGCTTCATTTCGAAAACGTAAAGTCATTGTTATTGTTATACTTTTATATTGAAAATATCTGGTCACAAGGGTAGTGTGAGGATTTCCACTAATCTTGGCTTCACGCTTCTGGAACTGAAACCCAAAACACCAGGTAAACGCTAAGCAATGAAATATGCTTTGATTGTGATACCTACCTGCTTTATAATTTCCTAATTTCTTTACAAGGTGGCTCGTTCGGTGTATTATTCAGTCCCTATATAATCAAGAAGCCACATAATGTAATCAGAGACCAGTAATTACACGATAAACGCAACAATGAATGACAAATCAATTAATTCTAAGGTTAACTGACATTTATGTATTCCTAAATATGTATTTGCAGATCATAATATGCTGGTTTATAACACTAAATTGTTTATATTCCAGGACTCGGGCACGTTCGTTCTTTAATTCAGATTGTGATTCAGTTTCGGTGTGGACGGAATGGAGGTGCGCTTCACGCGAGGCAAATCTGCGATCCTCGAGCGCTCGCTCACGCGCCCCAAAACCGAGGTGAGCGTGAGTGCGTTCGCGCTGCTCTTCTCTGAGATGGTGCAGTACTGCCAGAGCCGCGTGTACTCGGTGTCGGAGCTCCAGGCCCGGCTGGCAGACATGGGTCAAGGTGTTGGAGCCAGTCTTCTGGATGTTCTTGTGATGAGGGAGAAAAATGGGAAAAGAGAGACCAAAGTTTTAAACATACTTCTCTTTATTAAGGTATTACTGTTTATTTGTTTACAGATTGTAGATAATTTTTGGTTGCAGGAATAGTTCACCTAAAAATGTAAAATGACAGAATCAGAGATGTTGGTTTATTTAGATTTGGAGAAATTTAGCATTACATTATTTGCTCACCAGTGAATGGGTGCCGTCAGAATTAGAGTCCAAAGAACTGATCAAAACAGCACAGTAATTCACACCATTCCAGTCCATCACTGCAGAGGATCCACTGTTGAGCAAGCGATGTAATGCTAAATTTCTCCAAATCTGTTTTGATGAAGAAACAAGCTCATCTACATCTTGGCTGGCCTGAGGGTGAGTACGTTTTCATTTCATTTTTGGGTGAACTAATTCCTTCAAAGTTTACATGGCCTTTAGTGTTAATTCTGTTTCTTTCTTCCTAGGTTAACGTATGGAAAGCATTATTCGGAAAGGAAGCAGACAAACTGGAACAAGCCAACGATGATGACAAAACATACTACATCATTGAAAAGGAGCCTTTGATCAATGCCTACATTTCAGTACCGAAAGAGAACAGCACTTTGAACTGTGCAGCCTTCACCGGTGGCATCGTGGAGGCTATCCTAACCCACAGTGGCTTCCCAGCCAAAGTCACTGTCCACTGGCACAAGGGAACCACACTGATGATCAAGTTTGATGAGGCAGTCATTGCTCGTGATAAATCTCTTGATGGCAGATAGCAGATTGCTTACTTCACCGAGTCTCAAGTTTTAGCCTTGAGTCTGGAGTCTCAACATTGTCCCCCCCCCACTCATTTTTATAGCTTTGATAACAAATTCACTGCATCTAGCACAGATCTCAAAATAACTTAAAGTCTGTCTCTGGCTGTCCTATTTTTAATGATGTTACAGAATATTGCTGAGGACAAGCCACATCAACACAGTCACCTCATTAGTCCAGTGTAAAATGTAAAATTGACTGATGAAGGTGAAGGTTATTATCTGAATTTTACACATGTCCCATAATAAGACATGAATAAATTGTAATAAATGATAAATTAAATCATTATTGAATTTAGGCTTGGATCTCAGTGGAATTGAGTATCACTGCACTGTGAAAAAAAATAATTACATAAACCTTTAACTCTTAGTTGCTTCAGTATATCACAAAATTGTGCAGACAGTGTACATATGTCAAAATGAAAAATCTGAACTAGCGGTAGCAGAAAAGTTTTATTTACAGCATGAATAATTACATTTGGACTTCTTGATGTTTGTATTATAGAGGATTGTTCTATGTATGTGTAAATGTTTCATCTGTTCATGTTGTTTCATTTTTCATCACACAATATAATAAAGATTTTGTCAACCGCAAGGAGAGAGGAGGAAATATTGTCCCTTACAAAAACGTACCATGATAACAATATTTTATGCCTAAAAGCTGTACAGTAGTTACAATAGTTATTGTTAATACTTACATAGCATAATGATTACATTATTATTATGATTATAGATTTCCATAATAATTATAGATATTAATACTCTGACATAATGTAATATTTTGTCTGTTTTTCTTTTTAATGACAGTTACAACAGTTTTATTGCAGTACCAATAACTAGTAAATAGTAGGGAAATTTTGTCAGGAACTGGATTTAGCAGTTTTGTGTAATTAAGTGTAATCATGGCGTTTAGTAGTGTCTTGATTTCCTGTAAATGGTGTCTTGTTGTAAAAAATCAGCACAAACTGTTCCCTATAAGTCATATGTTTCACACTGATTCTTGAGTACTGTGACAAAACGGGCTACAAAACTGAAAAATAAAATAAAAATATGTTAAACATGTTCAGAGATGTAAGTTTGAGTGCAGGTTCCTGCTTCCATTTTCTCAAAAGGTATTATTTTTTTCACTCAATATAGGTCAAAACCAATAAAAAATAAGATACTATTCTGTATATATTGAAAAATCTAGCATCCACTTTAATAAACAAATCAATGAATTATGACTAAAGCATGGTTTCAAACTTATTTTCAGCTTTATTATTGAATCACCACAATATATATATATATATATATAAAATTAATAATAATAATTTATGCATTTAGCAGACGCTTTTATCCAAAGTGACTTACAGTGCATTCAGGCTATACATTTTGTGTATGTATGTGTGTTCCCTGGGAATCGAACCCATATATATATATATATATATATATATACAGTATCTCAAAAGAACTTGTATGGAGATTTTTCCATCTACAGATTTTTCCCTTTTCTCTGTAAATTAAGGGTGCACACTATTACTGAAAAACACAATCACTACTCAGCAGTCAGATGTCCGTATGCACAAAGACACATATCCCTAAACAAGACCATATCTGCAGATGAAAGCATTGTTTAATGTGAACGAGCACCTCATGACTACACCGCGTTATGCACGAGAAGCTGCAGAAGACACAGGCGCAAGTGGAATGTACAAAACATGCTGACATTAATTTTTAAGTAAATATAATGGGCGATATATTGCGTCACCAAACAGTATTGAGGTCATGTTCATATATTGCGCGATAAGTTGATATATTGATTATTGCGACAGGCCTACACGTGCTCAGCGTCATATCCAGAGGTTGTGTTTGGGAAATAGACGTATGAGTGCTGCCAGCATTGCTGCAGAGGTTGAAGCGGGTGGGGGGTCAGCCTGTCAGTGCTCAGACCATACGCCGCACACTGCATCAAATTGGTCTGCATGGCTGTCGTCCCAGAAGGAAGCTTCTTCTAAAGATGATGCACAAGAAAGCAGTTTGCTCAACAGTTTGCAGTTTGCTGAAGACAAGCAGACTAAGGTCATGGATTACTTCTGTGGTCTGATGAGACCAAGATAAACTTATTTGGTTCAGATGGTGTCAAGCGTGTGTGGTGGCAACCAGGTGAGGAGTACAAAGACAAGTGTCTCTTGCCTACAGTCAAGCATGGTGGTGTGAGTGTCATGGTCTTGGGCTGCATGAGTGCTGCCGGCACTGGGGAGCTACAGACCACTGTCTTGCTAAAGAAGCTGAGGGTAAAGGTGATGGATTGGCCAAGCATGTCTCCAGACCTAAACCCTATTGAGCATCTGTGGGGCATCCTCAAACGTAAGGTGGAGGAGGTCAAGGTCTCTAACATCCAACAGCTCTGTGATGTCGTCATGGAGGAATGGAAGAGGACTCCAGTGGCAACCTGTGAAGCTCTGGTGAACTCCATGCCCAAGAGGGTTAAGGCAGTGCTGGAAAATAATGGTGGCCACACAAAATATTGACACTTTGGGCCCAATTTGGACATTTTCACTTAGGGGTGTACTCACTTTTGTGGCCAGCGGTTTAGACATTAATGGCTGTGTGTTGAGTTATTTTGAGGGGACAGCAAATTTACACTGTTATACAAGCTGTACACTCACTACTTTACATTGTAGCAAAGTGTCATTTCTTCAGTGTTGTCACATGAAAAGATATAATAAAATATTTACAAAAATGTGAGGGGTGTACTCACTTCTGTGAGATACTGTATATATGAACAACCTTTCAAACTATTTTTATAATTTGTGACCGTTAAATATAAGAAAAACAGAACATATAAAACATAATACAGCTGTAAATTAAACTTAATATAGTTTAATATGTTTTAATATATGAAGGATAATGCGATGTCCTTTTTAAAATAGAGAAAATCAAATGGTACATTAGTGTTCTAGCATTCTAGTGATCATCTGATTTATTTCAAAGTAGAATTGAGAATACATCCACAAAGAACTCCCTTTTCCACTATCACATATCACTTAATGTGAATAATACACAACAAGCTCTGTTTACAGTATCCACACACACGCCAACACCATGAAAGTTTTATGGCACACCTCAGTCCGCAGCGTCAGAGTTTGTCACATGATGTTGTCTGGCCACATGATCTCATCGGAAGTTGCCTGTGCTGCTCGCGAGTGGACGCTTGTAAACATGCGGTAACCGGAGAGGAACCCTTCAATCAACCACTGAGGGGCAAAACAAGCCTGTTGAACAGATTCGGGTCCTGTTGTACTGTGAATTAAACTGGGATTTTAATGCCGACGGCCTCTACGCGGGATTTTAAATCGCTGACATGGCCGAGGTGGACGCGAATAAAGTCAATCATGTTTCCTCCGGTGAGTTTCGCTGTGTCGATGGGGTGTTAGACAGCAAGAGTGGAAATATAGTCCTGTATTTTTATGGAATGGAGTACAGAATAGTTCGTTTATTTTCTGTATTGTGAATGTGTGTATTATATATTGTGCACAAAAGTGGTTAATGCACAAAAATGTCAAAGACACAGGAGTCTAGACTGAGCATTAGTGGTCACGAGCGCAGTGGCTACTTTTTAGTCTTAGTCTCGCAATATTTTATTGTTCTAGAGGTAAATAAATGGCTGTTTTGGTATGTGTGTTGCAAGTGCCATTATGATGATTCATGTAATACTTGTCTTAAACTACTTTTTAGTCTTAGTCTCGCAATATTTTATTGCTCTAGAGGTAAATAAATGGCTGTTTTGTATGTGTTGCAAGTGCCATTATGATGATTAATGTAATAATTGTCTTAAACAGTCTTTCCTGTCCTACACCCTCAACAGAGCCCATAGAAATATTTCGTTTCGAGCATTGTGCAGACTTAGTGAACCTTCGTTCGTAATGCAGATTCGTGTGGTCACCATGTACAGTTTCACTTATGCTCAGGGCCATAACTACCATTGATTAGGATTGCTCCCCCCTAAAATGCAGAGTAGGCTTTTGTGTGGAGTTTGCAATGACTTGCATCTCTTACCTTTGTTCCCCTCAGGCATCCTTGCCTTTCCTGTTTGCGAATAGCCCTATTTGACGTTTGTTGAAGGATTTTGTGGTTTGGATGATTCAGTATTTCATCACGAGGCTGGATAGACTGCAGTGTTAGTACATGCATTGTGTATGTGATTTATTTTCCACTTGCTTGTTTTCGTATTTTCTTCCTCATTTGTGTTCCATTGGCCTTCTTCCTACAGTAACACCATAATGTGCTTATGGAGTCATAAAACATGCTGGAAATGATAACTACATTTGCCACCTGTTTTAATTTTCATTTCACTTGGTTTATAATGACCAAGTGACTGTTGGGCTGTTTTTAAGTAAACATTAAGTAAAAAAAACAAACAAAAAAATCTGGTATTTGCTTTCATATTTTTGTCTTAGTTCTTGGTCTATGTTGAATGTTATTTAAAAAAAAAAAAAAAAAAACATCTGCGTAATCTTTAGCAACTGAAAAGACTTTATACTGGTTATTTGATAATGTTAACCAATAGTCAAAAACCTATTTAGGATTTATTAAAGAAAATTTTAATTCAGTTTAAGTCTATTCTGTAATGTAATACCCACTTATCAACATCCATTTCTCAGTAATTATGCAGTTTCTCTCAAAAATATGTTTACAGAAAATTACGGAAGTAAGATGGTTTGCGATTACATACATTAATTCACGTTGTCTACAAAATAATAAATCAGTTGCATAGGGAACGTTCTCACAGAAAGCCTTTTCACATTTGCAGCTTTTCAATTGTTTTTCTTTGAAAAGCATGCGCAAGACGAACATGTTTGGCTGTTGCCCTTGCATCTGTTGCAGCACATAAAAAAAAATTAAAATGTGGTGCTTAAGTTAATAGAATTTAAACTTTTAAACAACATTTATTTTTTTAAGTGTTAGTGATTTTCTAAATAAATGTCTCCCAGTAGTCTTACATACAAGAAAAATATCTTGAGAATACTTTTTCTAGGGTTGCACCATTTTTTTTTTTTTTTTTACCGAAACCAAAATGACATTTTTCATTTAGCTAAAAACCAAAACCAAAAATAAAGTAGTCAGTCATAGTAGGCAATGAGACACGTCTCAATATTTCAACCAAACAAATTTTACATACTGCTATTCTATCATTATTTTTGGTCACAGTGAAGTGTGTTCTGTCCACAAAGCTTACAAGTTCAGCTGTTGTAGATTATCCATATTTTGTGCTGGAAAAGAATCAGTGTTTTGGTCAGCAATTTGACCCTTGGCCAAAATCAATTCTTTTTTTGTCATCTGAATTTTTTTTGGTTGCTGACATTTCAGTGCATCCCAAGATTTTCATAATATTTAAATTCATAATTGTGTGACCTTATGTACCCCCAAATTTTTACATTTCTTGTGTTGTGCGTGTAGTTCATGGGCGGCTCAGGCAGAATGACAAACCCTGATGGCATCTGTGATAGGGTTATTATAACATGCTGATAGTCATACCCTTGACTTATTGTGAAAGCAAGAGCGTGTGAGGAGCCAATGTATGCCTGTGCTCAAAAACATGGCTACCTGGAAAACTGGATGGATGAGATTTTTCAGTTTATTTTTCGCCATTTGATTGACTCTATCACTTGTAGTCTAAGGCTCATGAGTGGCTTCAATCACCCATATCCACTGCAGTTTTGCTTTTCCTATCACTTCACTAGATTACATTGAAATGTTCCTGTTATACAGTAGCAAGAATGTGGCGCATTTGAGGCATTGTGTTTTAAGGCAAGATTCCAGTGGCTCGGCTCTGACGGACAGACCGGCACACAGATTTGCTGCTAGATGAACAATGATGGTTTTGATTAGTGAGAACAATGAGAGCCAATAGGTATAGTTTCATGAACACTCTCAGTCTCTCTCCATTTTTACTTAATCATGCAGTCATTGGCAGGTCAGATGTTCAAGAAAGTAAAGAAATCAGGGAAATCACGGCAACTTGGATACTCAGTGTGAACAGTGCAGGAACTTAAAGGAACCCTATGAGTGCATTTCGTCCACCAGTCTGTACTTTTCTGCTGTGCAGTAACAGCATGAAATTTCCCATTTGTCAGCCCACACACGTTGTGATCATTCATCTCATTTAAGTGGCTGACCCACTTACTATTGTCTTTTGTATTTCACTTTCCGTTCAGCCTAGATTAGACGCTGTCACTCTGGATTGTGATTTATGAGGCATGAAAAATGGTGTTCCACCATATTTCCATTACATATGTAGGCGTGTAGCTGTGATAATCTCAATAAAACAGAAATTAATATGGCTTAATACCATTATCAAATCGTCTGTTATTTAATTATATAAATATATACGCAACACGTATCAAAGCAAAGAAACATGCACCAACCATCTTCCCTTAACTTGTAATGAGAAGCACTTATAAATTGGCTGTTGTCAACAAAAGAGATTTTTTTTTCTTGCTTTTTTTATTTTACAGTGAAATATTGCAAAATTTATATTTATTTTGTCATATTTTTATTTAGTAATAATATAATGCAATGTATTGCATTATACAATTTGTCCAGCCTACAAACACAGTAAACCTTTTTATTGAATTTTAAATCACAAACACAGTTTTTATCAGACAAATTGCAATTAGATTTTTCACCAAAGTGAAAAATATATAGCTTTGTTTGATTATAATTTTGGCAGTTCTTTGTTTATAGTCATGTAATTGAGATAACTGGTCATTGTGGTAGAGCTACTGCATAAAAAACACAGGACTGAATGCATCACTTACCATTTTGGTTTGAACAAAAATCTTTACAGCCACCACTTTCAAAAGTCATATTTCTGGTAGTTTCAGACTTAGAAGTGCTTTTGGGAAGTGTTTAGTCAGTGACTTGTAGAGAAAGAAAGAAGCAAAGCATATTTTTTGACTGTATTTTACAGAACAGCAGTACAGGAAGTGCATAATTAGGCAGTATTGAGTGAAAAGTGATATGTGTGGCCAAGTATGGTGACCCATACTCGGAATTAGTGCTCTGCATTTATCCCATCCAAAGTGCACAGACACAGCAGTGAACACACACACACCGTGAACACACACCCGGAGCAGTGGGCAGCCATTTTTTTGCTGCGGCGACCGGGGAGCAGTTGGGGGTTCGGTGCCTTGCTCAAGGGCACCTCAGTCGTGGTATTGAAGGTGGGAGAGAGTGCTGTACATTCACTCCGCCCACCTACAATCCCTGCCGTTATGAGACTCGAACCCACAAACTTTGGGTTACGAGTCCGACTCTCTAACCGTTAGATAATGTTTTGTTAAATTCACAGAGCTTTGAAACTGGAATAAAATCCAACATTCATTCACAAATCAGTCATGCTAATTTAAAGATGTGTCCTTGACAAACTAACCAAGCTAACCAGCCTTAAGGCCCTTTCACAAGACTCGCTATGGAGTGAAGCATTAAGATTAGCTGCATTGCAGGTCAACGATGAAGGCTTGGCAATTTTGTATTCTTTTCGAGAGGTCTTTGACAATCTACCCAGCCATGGTTTCAAAGCCTTTAGAATTTCTCAAGTGATCTCGCATCACTTTAAAGAAGAGAACGCTCATTAGATCTCAAGTTTCGGGTTGTGCACGTATAGGCGATCTCTGGCTGACGTAGAATGAAGTTCATGTCCTAATTAGGCTCTAGTTGAGGTCATCTTCTCTTTCAGTCTGTCTGTCACTTTAAAGACAAGTTCACCATTGTGTCCTGGTGATCTAAGTATGAACTTTGATTCTAGGGTAAGCGTAATTTATAAGTGTAATTTAAACCTTGTGATGCAAAGCTGAATTTTCAGCATCATTACTCCAGTCTTCAGTGTCACATGATCCTTCAGAAGTCATTCTAATATGCTGATTTGCTGCTCAAGAATCACTTTTTGTTATTGTCCCAGTTGAAAACAGTTGTGCTGCTTCTTGTTTTTGTGCACAAACTGTGATACATGCTTTTCAGGATTCTTTAAAAAAAAAGCATTTATTTGAAATGGAAATATTTTTTATCATTGTAAATTTCTTCACTGTCATTTAATCAGTTTAATGCATCCTTAGTGAATGAAACTATTGATTTATCTCAAAATAAATCAGTAAATATAAATAAAATGTAAACATTTATGTGAATGTAATTGAAAGGGTATTAGAATAGGAGTTTTGAAACAGAGACAATTTACATTGTGTTGTATCCCACTGGTACTATCTGTGTCTTTCTTTCTCTTTCAGAAGAGGATAGGCTACTGTTTCCGGTGACAGGCTATGGTTTGAATGACTGCAGGGATGAGTATAGCAGCCCAAGGCCGTTCCCAGTTGCAGGTGGCTGGATAGGTGCTGACCAAGAAGAGGAAGCATTGCGCAGGAAGTTAAAATATTTCTTCATGAGTCCCTGTGAAAAGTACCAAGCCAAAGGCCGAAAACCTTTTAAACTGGTTTTGCAAATACTGAAGATTCTTATAGTAACTATACAGGTATTTAAAATGAATCTCTTTTCTTAGAATTTCTTTCTAGTGTTATTTTCTTTCTACAGCTTATATACTCACTAAAGTAAGCATTGCAGCTCAAAGTCTCAGTTTTACCCCCAAATTGTTCTTTAACCACTATGATGTGCCCTACTGTGGGCCCATCTAAATTAACCTTTGGTTCTGCACTCTGAAGTATCACAGAGTTTCATAGGTTGGCTAGTAAGCATTAATTAGTCTTGTAGAGTTTTAAGCCACACTTTGAAACCAAGATACCATCGTTCAGTGCTCACTGAAAGGACATTTTTAAAATGTGGCCCTTACAAAATATTCAGCTGACTGATACACAAGAATAAATAAAATAAATAGAATAACAAAACTATGAGTGTGTGTGTGTGTGTGTGTGTGCACACAATAGAACAGGTAATGTATCAATTTACTAATTCATATGCTTTGAGGGATATATTTAGGTAGTGAGCTCAGTGTAGTCATAACATAATTTGGCTTACGTTCAGCCTCTGTCTTCTGAAAGTATCTTGTTTGTTTGGCTGTATAACTGCGTAAGTGTATTTTTTAATGCATATATACTTTTTATGAATAACTATATTATTCATCTACAGCAGCTATTCTGCCTTTCCCAGCTGGAGTTTGGCCACGAGTGGTCATGTTTATTTTTATATGCCTTGTATAAAGCCTATTCTTCTCACTTGTCTTTCAGTACCTGGCTTTGCCGGAGACGACAGTGGGCCGTTATGCGTATGTGTACAATGTCGGTGTGAACGGAAGTGCGCTGTCTCTGTGTCAGCAGTATTATAAAAAAGGCAGGATCGACCCAGCTAACGACACCTTCAACATCGATCCGCATGTGGTCACAGGTGAGTTTTTCAGCCTCTTTTTCCTCCCAGTTTGTTCCTGTTCTTATTTTAGTAATTGTTTTAACCAGAACAGATGTTAGGATCAAGTAGGATCAAGGCAAAGATTTAATGAACTTGAAATATTAATTTTCTAGCACTTATAAATGCTCCGGTTACTTACATAATCTCGGTTCCCTGAGGACAGAGCGTTGCGTTAATCACACTATGGGGAAACTCCTGTTTACTCTGATACTGAAGCCTGATTTGATCACGCTCTTGTAGCTGCACGAACTAATGGTGCTTCAGCCCACCAAAAGGGGTGGAGCTGACTGCTATATAAGTCAGCTCTGAGTGCCATTTCATCAGAATATTTCGACTGAAGCGACAGTTGTCAACTCGCATGCAGCCTTATAGCACGGCAGCTCACGCAATGCCCGTTTCCTTATCTCAGGGAACTGAGGTTACGTAAGTAACCGGAGCGATCCCTTTCGAACGGTCTCTCCCGTTGCGTTAATCACGCTATGGGGAATGCATCCACTTGCGCCATGCTATAAGGTAATCCATGCCCGCACCTTGGCAGAATCGATAACTGTCCCCAGAAAGACTACTCGCTGACTGGAAGACAAGCTTTAACTCTTGGCTAAATTGATTTTCAACCCAAGACACTCCTGGTGGCTGAGCAGCAGCAACCTGTGAGCGATGAGTTCCCGTTCTGATCTGGCTAAAACCAGCCAATCGTCGAGGTAATTCAAGATGCGCATTCCCATCTGTCTCGGAGGGGAGAGAGCCTACACACTTCGTAAAAGTGCGTGGGGCCAGAGACAATCTGAATGGCAGGACTGTATATTGATAGGCCACTCCCTCGAATGCGAATCTCAAGAACGTTCTGTGCTGGGGGGCTGTCTGGATGTGAAACTAAGTGTCTTTCAGATCCACCAATATAAACCAGTCCCCGGTGCATACTTGCACAAGGATCAGTTTCAAAGTCAGCATCTTGAATGGCCGTCTCATGAGTGAGCGATTCAGATGGCTGAGATCGAGAATGGGCCTGAGCCCGCCATCTTTTTTGGGAACGAGGAAGTAGCGTCTGTAAAAGCCCAACTCGCTGTTCGCTAGAGGAACTGTTTCTGTTGCATGAACTGTTTTGCATGCAATGTTTGCACTTCGGAACATGAGCATCGCTGTCCCGTACCGAAGTTTGAATAATACCTCTGAAGCAAGATGGCCTGCGAGCGAATTGAAGCGAGTAACCTCGTTCTATGATGTTTAGAACCCAACTTGACATATCTGGGATAGCTTTCCATGCCTGAAGCCGGATGGGAAGTGGTCTGAGTTTTTCAAGCATTGTTGAGCATAGGGATGGAGAGCGGGCGTGAGACTTCTTCAGTGAGACTCAAGCTCTCGCAGTGAGAACATTCTGCCTCGGTGAGCACAGCCTCTGCATGGGCGCTGTCCAGGCAGGCGATGCATTCACCGTACCCATCTGCATCGTGCAGGGGTTACCTGCTCGAGCCACACTTGCGGCGCGACATTTGCAACAAAGTTGCAGTGGAAATTTGCTCAGAAAATATGCTCTTTTTAAAAGCCGGATGGTCACAGGGGAATGCGTCGAGCTTCTTCCGCTGCCGGTGGCTTCTTCTCATGGCGGTGAGCAGGAGGCTGAGCTTCTTTCTTCTCTTCTCTTCGGCTTCTTGCTTGCAGAGTCAGCGAGGAGATGATCTTTGCCACTGAAGGAGAAAATTGTGACGAAATGGCACTAAGAGCTGACTTATATAGCAGTCAGCTCCACCCCTTTTGGTGGTTTGAAGCGTCATTGGTTTGTGCAGCTCCACAAACGTGTTCAAATCAGGCTTCAGTATCAGAGTAAACAGGAGTCTCCCCATAGTGTGATTAACGCAATGGGAGAGACCGTTCGAAAGGGAACTCATTTTTTGGTTCGTTTATTAGTCGATGAACTTGATGAAACTAAAATATCTTGTTATTTCCTCTTTTGCACATTGTTTTGCACTTGCAGTTCCTTGTTACTGAGTGTACCGCAGGAATCACTTTCTAATGTAAATCTAAAAGAAATCTTGCTGTTGACCAAACTTGTCTCCTGATGACTTTGTCAGTCACTGAGGCTGGTTTAGTTGGTAATGAATTTCTCTCTTCCTCTCTGTAGACTGTATCGGAGTGAACCCATTGTCCGCTCCCACACCAGGTCTGGGCCTTGATTACAGGAACTTCACCCTCAAGTTTCACAAGTAAGTTAAACTGGATTTTTTAAGCAAGTTGTTCCTTCTCAGAAATTTCCATTGATACTAAAACTCTGATATTAACAAACTCTTTCTCAGGCTCATTAATGTCACCATACAGTTCCAGTTGAAGGCTATAAATCTTCAGACCATCATCCACAATGAAATTCCTGACTGTTACACTTTCTTCATTACGGTGAGTTTCCACATAAAATGCTGCTGCTTTCACTCAAGGAAAAAAAAGACCTAAAATATAAATGTAAATATTTGAAGAAAACAAACCCTTTAACAGAGCTGTTAATGGAATATAAAAATATAATACAAAAATATAAAAATATGAATTATTTAAATATGTCATTTAAAATGTATATACTTTTTATTCTTTTTAATAAAAATAAAAAAAATCGGTTTCAGCCCAGTGTATCTAGATTTTCTGTTTATTTATTATTATAACTTTGTATTTATATTTGCATATATAGATCTCATATAGAAAAATATAAAAAATATATCCTTTAGTTTTAAGCAGTATGTCTAGATTTTTTTTCTAATTTGCCAAGTATGTTAGTGTATAACTAATAATAATTCATATATGTCATTTATTTATTTATATTCGTAGAATTATAAAATATTAAAATGCATTATTTAAAGAATATGTAATTTTAAATGCCTATAAAAGAAAACTATTTATCTGTCATTTTAGTTTTGACCCAGTATATCTACATTTTCTATTTCCAATTTGTAATTTATAATGTATTTTTAAAAGTAATGTATTATTTTGAGCATAACAATGTTATATATTTCTGTAAATCTGTCATTTTAGTTTTGACCCAGTATATCTACATTTTCTATTTCCAATTTGTAATTTATAATGTATTTTTAAAAGTAATTTATTATTTTGAGCATAACAATGTTATATATTTCTGTAATGTTTATGTAATTGATCCTATTTTATGTTCAGATTCTGCTGGATAACAAGGCCCACAGTGGTAAAGTTAAGATCAATCTTGATAATCAGGCCTCCATTAAGGAGTGTAAAGACCCAAGTGTGTCTGGACACGGTAAGACTCAACTACCTCACATCATCATTTTTGTACATTGTGGATAATCACTATATATGCTTATACTCATGCTGTCTCTCTGTCTCCAGCTGATAGTTATGCTCGTGTGTGGTTTGACGGGGCCGTTTTATTGGTGTGTGCTTTCTCTCTGCTCCTCTGTGGTCGCTCTATAATCAAAGGAATAATTCTTCAAAATGTAAGCCATTGTATCAAACAAATCCACATTAATGTGATGATCATTATATAGCGAATCCTGTCCTAACATTCTGTCTTGTATTTTCTCTTCAGGAGTTTGTGAAGTACTTTAAGACCTCTCTGAAGCGTGATGTTTGTTGGGGAGACAGAATGGAGTTTATTAACGGATGGTATATTCTGCTCATCATTAGCGATGTGCTAACTATCACAGGCTCCTTCATCAAGATCGGCATTGAGCTAAAGGTCAGTCAGCACAGATGACTGTCAGCTTCAGAAAATTTACATTTTGAAATCTTTATGTATATGGATGCATTGCATTGGATCGCACTGATACTTCATGATACTTTGTTTTAACCCTCAGAACCTCTCATCCTACGATGAGTGTGGGATCCTCTTGGGCACCTCAACATTATTGGTTTGGGTTGGAGTTATTCGCTACCTCACCTTTTTTCAGAAGTACAATGTGAGGAAACAAACACATCCACACACCAGTGTTCATGCAGTTACACATTTCACATTTTCCTTGGTCTTTAGAGCTGAATTCACTATGATTTAAAAAAAAAAAACATTATTTCTTAAATTATTTTTAACAAGGTTGCTGATGTTTCTAGATTTTCACTTTCATCACCTGAAAATGAACGTAAAATTCCTGCCTAACCTTATTCATACTGCACATTCGAGATATTAAATATATTTGAATATATTTTAAATATATCGCTACCAAGCCTGGAACTTGAATAGATGTATTACAGTTCGTTTTTGTACATTTTTTTATTTTTGTGGCATTCATTCATTAAATGCACCTGAAATGTCTCAACATCTCTAGTGGAGATTTGCTTGTGAAACAGTTGAGATGTTTTTTTAGGATGTGGATTTTATATGCTCTGTTGTTTTCCTTTTCTCAGATTCTCATTGTCACTTTACGAGCTGCATTCCCTAATGTGATCCGTTTCTGTTGCTGTGTGGCAGTGATCTATCTCGGTTATTGCTTCTGTGGGTGGATTGTGCTGGGACCCTACCATGTTAAGGTATGCAACTTAAGCCTGACAAGGCCAAGCAAGCATAATACAATTAATTCAAAATAATTCAATGTGGAACTACATGGAACATCTCCCAAAAAAATGGCATACTTGGTTCTGATATTAGAAATGTTCCTCTTTCTCAAGGTGAATGTTTTTTTTTAATTTAGTAAAAGTTCTTTTTTTTTTAACATTATTTTTTTGTTTAAGAATATGACAAATTATTTTAATTTCATACATGCTGTGATGTAAAAAATTCAGAGAAATCCAAAATAGACTATAAAAAGTTGAAAATATGTGATTCAAACGTTTGTAGTCAATGAGATTAGTTTTTTTAAATAAATTGATTCTTTTATTTAGCAAGGATGCATTAAATTGATCCAGTTACAAAAGATGCTGTTCTTTCAAACTTTTTCACAGTAGTATCACAGTTCCCCCCAAAAAAATTAGGCAGCACAAGCACAACCATTTTCAACATTGATAATAATAAAATGTTTTTTATTAACCAAATATGTTTTTTCGAAGGTGCATATCAGCATCTTTAAATGATTTAAGATGCTGTTCTTTCAAACTTTTTCACAGTAGTATCACAGTTCCCCCCAAATAAATTAGGCAGCACAAGCACAACCATTTTCAACATTGATAATAATAAAATGGTTTTTATTAACCAAATATGTTTTTTCGAAGGTGCATATCAGCATCTTAAAATGATTTCTGAAGAATCATGAGACACTGAAGACTGGAGTAATGATGTTGAAAATTCAGCTTTGATCACTGGAATAAATTACATTTTAAAATGTATACAAATAAAAAAACGGCAATTTTAAATTGTAGTAATATTTTTATCAAATAAATACAGCCTTAGTGACCATATGAGACTTTCAAAACATTTAAAAATTCATTAAAAAATTCTGGCTCCAAACTTTTGAACAGTAGTATATATATATATATATATATATACACACACACACACAAAATAAACAAATGTGCATGTGTCTTCTCTCTCATATCTCTTATATAAGGTATGTGTTTTTTCCTCAGTTCCGCTCTCTCTCACTGGTGTCTGAGTGTCTTTTCTCTCTGATCAATGGAGATGACATGTTTGTGACCTTCAGCGGCATGCAAGAGAGCAGCATGCTTGTCTGGGTCTTCAGTCAGGTGAGTTTGACCCTCAGCTCCTCACACAGGTACATACACGACAAATGCTACAGAATTCAGTGCAGTAAATATACTCTGTTCCTTTGCAGGTTTACCTTTACACGTTCATCTCTCTGTTCATTTACATGGTGCTCTCTCTCTTTATCGCTCTTATCACTGGAGCTTATGAGACCATCAAGGTAAGAGTGAAATACGAGGGCAGATGAAGAAAAAAAGACATGTTTTTGTTCCTGATATCCTCTCTCTCACACACACACACACACACATGTACAAACATGCATGTCTTTGTAAAATAACACAATTTAAACCATACAATTTAATTCAATAATAATTGTTTTTATGTGTGTATGTGTGTGTTTATTTTCAATTTTTCAATCTTTTTTAATCTATTTTTTGTTTTTATTTTAAATCAGTTTTACTTAATTTTCTTAATTATCTATTTTTGTATTCCTATTTTTGTAAATTATCAGTATTTTTTTTTTCCTGATGAACTCAAAAAGGTGTTATACCGTTTGTGACTGGTAGTAAAACGAAGTGTTGAGTAAGACGATCCAAACAGCTTGATTATAGTAACATGATATCCTTTCATTTCCATTCAGCATCAAACTCAGGAGCCTGTCCATATCACTGACCTGCACGCGTTCATCGCTGAGTGCACTGACACGGCCAGCTCTGGAAAGTTCCGCGGGATCGAGACCTCGCCGTGCTCTGTCTTCTGCTGCTGTGACAGGTGTGTCATCATAGAAACAATGAAAATGCCTCTTAATGTCAGCAATCACATATTTAAGTGCCCCCAATTAACACAAATGTATTGCATACTGTTACATTCAATATAATATAATAATAAAATGCAATAGTGAAGGGCACAAATAATGCAGTTAGTTTCACAATGTTTATATTCTTAAGAAAATCAACCTAATAAACCAGCTTATGGTTGTTACTACACAATAAAGTGAAAATTCACCCTATCTATTTTCTAAATGCTTGTTATAGATCTTATTGTCAACAATTCATATGTGCAAATGTTTATTTTTATTTATTAATTTGTTTTATTGTTTTTTTTTTAACTTTGTAACATTTAGTCAAAATCATAACTGGATCTTCTCTCAGAAATTGCTAAATATTTAAATTAATTACAAAGAAATAGCAAGTAACACATTAAATTAAACATGACATTTTTAAGTTGAACAACTGAAATGATATTTTCTTTTAAAACAGTAATATTTGTTTTATTACAAATTTGAAAACTTTTATTACAATTTTTAAAATCAATTTTTACAGTGTACTTTGAGTGCAACACCCACATCTCAAAATCCAATCAACCGCTGATGGATAGAATAAAGTGCTCGCCCTACGTTTTCTCTTTTTTTCAATAATCAATTATACTCAGATGTATGTAACAATACATGGAAGAAAAGATCTGTCACTACGTCCGTGTAATCGCGACTGAACTGGGATAGGAGAAAATATTTTAACATGAAATATTTTAACTGAAGGCTGTAATCGTGTGTGTTGGTGTAACCCTGCAGAACCACCACATATGAGGATGTGCACCTCGTCAACTAGTACAATCATGGGACTTGATGCCTGAAGATCCCTCTGCTGGTCACCTTGCAGTACTGCAGCCGGAAGGAAGCCAGTGGCAATGTGAGGAAAACTCCAGACAAAATACCCAAGAAGTCACAGTCGCTTCACTTTGGACCTTAAATGGAGAAGAGCGTATATGATGTTTAAAGAAGAATTGCTCCAGTCTGTGAAAATTTAAGTTTTACCTCAAATTGATTTTAGTTTTAACTTTTATCTGGAGGTTGCTAAAGGCAGCTCAGTACTGTCTCTGTGTCTGTACTGATAAAAACACTAAGAAGGTTTGAATCGAGACCCTATTAGACGGATTACAAACTGCACACGTGCAGGCGATATGTACAATAATCATTCCCTGAATGTTGATCCCACATGTTCGTTCAGTGCACGTGCTGTGGTGTGCAAGTGGGTCATCTGTGGCCAATACTGGGAGACATAGTGGTCAGTGATTCTATTGCTGTTCGTTCTGTTGGATAGTTTTTTATGTCTTTGAGTAACTTCTAGTCATGTGTAACGTCTGCACCAGAAGAAGACTGAACTGGCAGGCCTAAGCGTTTAGCAGATGTAGACTTCTGCTGCAAAAAAAGATGAGGAGACCATGTGATTAAACATTAAATATAAGTTGTCTGTTATTCAGCACTTAGAGCAGAAACAGCAATCCCCGGTGTCTTAATATCATCTCCACTTATCCATAACAAAAATACATGCTCTGCTAGTATGAATTCACACCCAGAATGCCTCAGAAACTTAGCCTTAACACTTCCTGATGTGTAGAGCTGGCTGTAATTTTGGAATGTAATACCTCATTGTTGAAGAGGATGACTTTCAGTTGCTTTTTGTATTTTTCTGAACTTTTGGAACACAAGTTCACCGGTAATCATACCTCCATAATTTGATTCCATACTGATTTATTGTTTAATCTGTATCAAATGACTCGCTTTGCATACCATAAGTGAAATCTTATTTTATAAATTATATTGGACGGCCTTAACCTTGATGATCTAGTGTTTTATAGAAAATACAGCCAGCCTTCATCAGCTTTGTTTTAAAACTGAGGCCTTCAAGAACACTATTGTAAGATTACTGGTGAGGGCACAGTGTTCTGTTACCATGGGGACATATTAGAACAATAGAACTCATCAAAAATGCTTGACCCATGCATGAATCTCACTCTCACAGAGGACTAACAAGCCTAATTAGATCTTCTCCATTATACTTGACTGATAAGAGAAGGATGTATAAATATTTAAATTCTGGGGCCTGTGCAAGCCATTAATTCAAATACACAATAAGTGGGACCAATCATATTATTTTGATGTCAGTGAACTGCTTTTTGGTCATATTACATGATTAGATTTTCCTTTTAATACTTCTGTATTATTTTAATGTGTAATTCAATCGTGTTGTAGTGTAATGTTTTATTTATGTTGTGTTGCCTTTCTGCTTCAAATGAATTTAAAGCGCACAATCTGCAAACACACCACACTTTCTGTTACTATCATGTGAAGCTACACGGGGATGTTGTTCAGAAATCACATCATATGTTGTCAGATGTGTACCTGGAATATTTCATATTTCATTTTAGCCTGATAATTGTGTCTTTTTAAATGTTTTGTGATGGACAACTTGTGCAAATACTTTGCTGACCAAGGCAACACAAACAGCATGTAGATAAAGTGATGTAGAATAATCTACTGACTTTAAAAATGGAGGATTTTTCATTTCTTGATTTTTCTTTTATTTGTTTTAAACACTTGTATAAGTGGCATTGCACTTTTTTTTCCCCAAGCTTTGATCTTGACAGGGTCATTTTTTTTTTAATGTTCACATGTATTGTTCAATACAGAGATTTTCTAAAGATTTTTTAATATTGATAGATAAAGTGATGTAGAATAATCTACTGACTTTAAAAATGGAGGATTTTTCATTTCTTGATTTTTCTTTTATTTGTTTTAAACACTTGTATAAGTGGCATTGCACTTTTTTTTCCCCAAGCTTTGATCTTGACAGGGTCTTTTTTTTTTTAATGTTCACATGTATTGTGAGATTTTCTAAAGATTTTTTAATATTGACACTTTTTCCTTGTCCTGTTGTTGTTCCATATTAGAGTAAATTAGAACACTTTTTAAAGCTGTATTGACCACCTATACATGTAATACTTTCTTACTATACCATATGAACACTAGGTGGTATAATGAGAGCATTTTATCACAAATCTGAAGACTTTCAATTTAGAGATGGCATCTGTGGCACCTAAATTGCACTTGTAAAATATTAAAGTTGCTTAAAAATAATTTAGCCAAGGTTATTGTATTTGGAAGAGGGGAAGGGAGTTTGTAGGCATGTTTGAATAGCTGGTCTAAGCAGGTGCACTAACCATTGCATTAGCCAGTGTACATTGTTTGAGTTGGCTATCTGAAACCACAGAAAGAGATTACACACACTGTTCAAACAGAGCAATCCCCTCAGATGTTGATCTCAGACCTGTGGCCATTCTATAAAGGCCTGCTTTCCTATTCTCAACCTGAGGTGGGAGTCTGAATATGAGCCACACCCAGCTATTCAAACAGAATGAGTTAACCGGAAGAGATTTAATTTAACCACCTCAATAAGCCCATTGTGATCATATACAGACAGGTTTTACAGCAGTATAACAAGAAGATAATCATCTGAGGCTTAATTTGGACTGATTTCTTAATTCATCTTACCCAAAACTACTTCTGTGATGTGCTCAGATGCTCACAATATCTTACTTATAGTTTAGCTTAACCTTATCATAGGGGTGAAGATAGCAAATGCCGGACTGATGCGCCTTAAAACGGTAAAGAAGATCATTAATGTGCTAAATGATTGGCTCCACCCATAGATTCAAATTTGCATATTAAAGACAAAGCCGACCTTAAATAAAATCTAGACAAGAAGAGCCATGTAGTATAGAACAGTGCACAGCTCCAGGCCTGTCAGAATCCGTTTACTTCCGATGGGGTAGAGACTGGACTATTTCTTCTTTTACAAAGCTTTCTATGTATGTGTGTAAACAAATCTTATGCATGTAAACAAAAATCAAGTGTTGCTTGTCCATCAATTGCCCTTTCTTTGTTTAACAGAATAATGTTTGCTGTCATACTGTTTGTGTGACTGATTTTTCTCTGCCTGAATGCTGGTTTTAGTCCATGAATGCACTTTTTTTAGCTTTAGGAAATCCGCTTTTTGCAGGCGATTTAATCCCTACTCTCTCTCTCCCGTCACTTTAGTCTTTGCAACTTTACAGATCTTCTTTATGCACCAAGAGCTTGTAACACTCCAAAGAGAAAGGAAAATTTGAAATCGCATCATGACCCCTTTAAAGAAAACTACATTTTCATGAGGATGTAAAATTTTTGTAAATATTTTTCTCAATGACACATATGCCCATGTATCAACTTTTTTTTTAATTTTCAAATGATCAATTACACTTGCACAAAGATTAGAGCAAAAACAATCAATATTTTGTCTGCTGATAATTAACTTTTTGTTTTAATTTAATTTTAATGTAATTTTCATGGCAGATACAACCTATAACACTGTAAATTTTTAGTCCTAATTGTGTTGGAAAATATTAATACATTAGCATTGTTTTTATTTTTATGTCCCTGCCCATTTAATTGTTAACTCCAGTGTTGAGTTGGCAGTCCTCAGTTATGCATGTTTTTCAAACACATGATGGTGAAACAGCGTGCTGGATGCTAGATGGGCGGGGCCATAGTTTGTAAAGTGACATCACTGCCCTTTTGAAGTGAATTTCGGTACTTGATCCCATTGGATGAAAACCGGGAGTCCGATGGGCTTTTTGGTGGCTTGATCCTTTTTGTTTCTGAATTGCCACGTTAGGATTTGATCAACTTCCTTAACACCGATTTCAGCTCACGGTGAAGCAGTGGGTTGATATAAAGGGCTTTTTTTGCACGTTTGTATATTTTAAGCAATTTGCACAAGGACCCACACGCCTCCCGTATCACCTTGCCGCCGGTGTGAAGTCGTGGATTGTCCGCTTTTCCAGACTGAAGCGGAGGAGTCGAAACCAGGCGCTTTTAAAATCATCTGAAGGTAAATGGATGACATTTTGGAGCATGTTTACTTTGCTTATATTTCAACCTGTTTGCCTGGTTCAAATTCTCTTTTCAAAATGTCATTTCATTTGGGACCACAATCAACTTATTTGGTTTATGTTTTGTTTTCGTTCTGAATATTTTCTGGAATCAGGTTTGGTTTCGTGTTTGGGTTGGGCTGGGCTTTTAAAGGATGCGATGCATCGATTTATACACGCATGGTATGAACTGAGCAGCGGCCTGTGCTCCGTTTGAAACAACGATTCTTAGCGCGTGAAGGGTATCGTAATTAATGAAATGGCTCGCGTGGCTGCTGTGGTTACATGTAGCGATTCATCTTCGGATAAAACGAATGCCGTTTGATCACCATTTTTCTTGTCAAGTACAAAATAAATAGTATTTTCTAATGCAAAATATAAATACATCAACTATCTGGTCTTGGAAATGCAAACAAATCGCTACCTTTTGTGGGGGTTTCATCTAGGCTCAGCTTAAAATGTGAAGTGCAGTTCTTGAGAATGAGAAGATTTGATGTTGAGGAATTCAAGTCGATTTGAATCGAAACGCGCAATGATAGCATCGCTTCACTTCAGTAGCTGTCCTGTGTTATTCTGACCCGCCTCGCCTCTTTTTACCCGAATAAACTACTAAAGCTGAGAGAACTCGATAGTGTAAGTGGACTATCATGGATTGCCGTCGTTTGATAAGAGCTGCCTGTGCTGCTTCTCGGAGTTTGTTTGGGCACTGCCTCGTTTTGACTGGAAATGATCGTTTGAATCGCGCTGATGTCATGCTGTGTTATCACCCTATCACCCTTGTAACGCCAGCAGGTCTGTAGATAACAGCGTGTCACTCATCGCACCCTGTCTCTGTGTACATTCTAGAATTCAGTTCTACAAGTTCGTGACCGCTTTTAACGATAATGGCCCGGATATTTAACTGTTGCCCATTCACTAGCAGATCTTTCATGAGAGGTCGTTTTGTGTGGAAACTGTAGGTTTTAAGGCGCATTCACTAATTTCTTGTCAATTAAAAGGGTTTCGACAAAGAGATATGGGCAGTGAAATATCATTAAAATGATACACTCACGAGACGAAGATTCCAGTAATTCTACCTGGAGCGGGTCGCCCCTCATGGGCGTAGCCATGTTCAAATCACGTGACCGGCTGCATCATAAAATTAACTAGTTACTATTTTTAACAATACTATTGTTCATTTTGTATAGTGATTTTAGACAGTACACAAAGCTTAAACCTGTAAGTACTTCTAAACAAATTAAAGCCTAGCAACAGCCTAGTCCAGATACAATGAATGGATCGGCAAGTGTGGTATCCTCAAGACATTTCAAATAGAATAAGTAGCCTACAAGTGAAAAAAAAATTCATGCATCCAAGCCACTAAGTATTCTTATAAAGTACAAAACCACTGGTAGGCTACTATTAGGCCGAGCCGTACCGTGCCATACCATGCAGTGGAAAAGCGCCATAAGAGCCAGCTAAACATATACAAAAACTTAGTGAGCTCACTTAATTTGCAAGACATTGATAATTTTAGGGTAATTTTAAACAACCTTGTCGATGTCATATAATGCCCTGCTAAGACCATAATGGTCTATTGTGTCCTCCCAGTTGTCTCAGGAATTTGTCATACACTAATGCCAGCTGTTGTTTTGGTCGTCCCAATAAAAAAACGAATTGACTTGACTGAACAGTCCAGAACTACAACCCCAATTTGATGCTAGAATGATAGAACAAATAACACATGAAAACAGAGCCTACTTGTGCTAAGATTTATGATAGCCCCTCACTGTTTAGATGTGTGCCTGAGCTCAGGTTGGTCTGAAGTTGAACAGAGCAGCTGCTGTCATTAGTTGTTTTAGCCACACTCCTCAGTGAAGGACTCCTGACACTAATAGCTTTGTTTAAACAGGACACCCTCACCAGTCTGCTCTTGCTGCTCGGCTAGACTTGGGTTTACTTTTAGCCAATAGCGTTATGTAGTGATTGATTGTGCTTTCTATTGCATCCTGTAAGCTAATGATTTCATCACTTGAGTCATCTTGTGCTGGAACCAATTCAGGTTTTGTCATTGTGGTGTTGTGTTTTAGGTTCGCTGATCCCTCTCAAGTCTGTGGTCGCTATTTTGCAGACAACTTTGATTCTTTTTCTGCCATTTTCCCACACATCACTTCTTTTCTGAGTTAAGGTGCATTCACATTAGCAGAATTTCAGCAAATTGTTGCAGATGAAATAGTCATTTCAATAAATCCACCTGGAATTTTGTGTGAGAGCAAAAGATTTCCCCACACAGATATCGCATTTAGAAAAAAAAACATGTTTTAAAGGGTTAGGGTTCACCCAAAAATAAAAATTGTCATCATTTATTCACCTCAAGTTATTCCAAACCTTCCTTCTGTTGAGCTCAAAAGAAGATATTTTGAAGGATGTTGGTAACCAATCAATTGATGGTACCCATTGACTACCATAGTATGGAAAATACTATGGAAGTCAATGTCTACCGTCAACTGTTTGGTTACCATCATTCTTCAAAATATCATCTTTTGTTTTCAACAGAAGAAAGTAAGTCCCACAGGTTTGGAACAAACAGTAAAAGACGGCAGAATTTTCATCTTTGGGTGAAATATCCCAGCATTGATTGATCTTGGAATATTATTCGCTTCATTTAGTAAAAATTGTGTTTAAGGGTGTTTGTATGCATATCTATTGATGTACTGGCCAATGCAGCACTCACTGATTGGACCATTTAACAGCT